GCAACATTTGGTTCGTTCTATAAAAATAAGATCTTAAAATTCCAAATCAGCCAGTCTCGCGGTTCAACTATTCTATGCTCACAGGATGACCATATTTTCACGCACAAATCATACCAAAGTGATTGGTATTACTGTGGTTATTGTACGAGTCACCAAATATTCACTAAATGACAACTTCCGTCTCAAGCTCTTCATGTAGCTTGCCTTCTTTGCTACCATCACAGCAATTATAGGCGGAGTGAAAGTATTCCAAGGTCAAGGTGCAAGTCATGGTGGATATGCTAACTCACTAAGGTTTGAGCAGGTATTTAAAAAAATTGATTGTGTGCTCGGTGTTGAAATTGACTAGTTCTCATTCTTAGATGTGGCTTGCATCCAGTTCAGCTTGCGATGTAATCATCACAGTTACAATGATTGTTCTGGTTTGTTGAAGATTTTCTACATCATATGCCTGGGCCTAATGGAAGTCTCTACAAGCTTAAACATTCAAATACAGGAGTTAAGGAAACAAGACGAGTGGTTTCTAGACTGGTACGAATTTTGGTCGAAAGTGGCTTTGTAACAGGTAGATCATTGATAAATATCCAAATTCCTTTATACCAAGATGACATGTTGACCTCTAGCTGTCCTGTTCATTGTGGATCTCTGCATTTTTGTGGCATTCCCAACCAAGGTTTATCACATTGCCATTTGTAATGGTTTGGCAAATGCCCACTCTATTACACTCCTCATTATTCTCAACAGTCGTTCCCACTCTACCTTGACCACCCATTCCAAAGGATCGTCGGATATAGTACAGAACACTCTCCATTTTGCCACTTTTCCTCCGATGGGGGAAAATATGACCCATCACAGCAATTTTTCGGAGCTGGGTCCAATGGAGTTCAGAGAACCAGTACGTTCGCTGTTTTAAGTCATGCGAGAGGATATGCGAATATGCTAATCCTACTCTGGTCTTTAGCACTTTAGTATCCATTCAAGTGCTGGATCAGATGCTGAAAATGGTAAAGAATATGCCGTCTAATGCATGAATAAGCCTTGGTTTGGTAATTCCCCTCGAAAGCTGCCCTTGTGAAAGATTCCAAATATTTTCGACATTCACATTCTAACGAGCTTGCACCTAAATTGTTAGGAATTGAAGCTTAGGAATATTGTAATACTAAAGTACATCTACTGAATTCAGAGCTCAATAGTTTATTTCTCTTTCAAGGATGTACCCATACAATCCCATATCGAATCTGTATAATTATTCATTTAATTATTCTAGCCGGGAAGATATGTCGAAATCTTTATAAATGTCTAGGAAGATGTATGAAACTGAGGAGCTATATAAAGCCATGCCATCTGGGTAAATGAAATGATATAGAATTATTGTTTATAGTCGTTCATAGAGTAACTGGCATCCACTCTGAAAATTTAATTTGAAGAAGATGAAATGTGACAACCACAATTTTACGGAGTATCCAGGATCAAATGACCTCTAGTTCTGGTAGATATAGTAAGTGAAGCCTATGTTTTGGGCCTTTGTCCACAGTGAGAGAGAAAGCTCAGAGACGTACCATTGCTCTGGCCATTCCGGCACTCAAATTTGAACTTGAAAATTGACCACCATATTGGTATCTTCGTCGGTTCGGGCAAAGTGAAGACTGTTTTGCACCACATCCCAAGTTTCTGTGTGTTTAGTGAAGTTTCGACTGTTAAGAATTATGAGGAGTGTGATTGAGTGCAGATTTCCTAAGCCACCACAAAATGCAACGTGATAAAGTTGATTCGGAAATGCCATAAATATACATAGATCTCCGATTGACAGAGCGGCTTAAGTGTTTTGGGTTTCTTAGATCAAAAAAAGAGGCAATAATAAAGATGAACTACATACCTGTCATGAACCCACTTTCAATCAACAGTCGCATATTTTTGTACACTACTTGTTTTGTTTGCTTGTACTGTGGATCCAGTTTTATAAGCTTTTGAATCGTTATCAGTTACTGAAGAATTTCAAGAAAGCCATAGCTAACCGAAACAATCATTGTGACTGTAATTACTGTATCACAAAGAGAACTTGATATGAGCCACATCTAAACCAAAAGTAAGTTCAGTTCTGAACGATGTAATTCTCAGCACACACCTGCTCAAAAATTAAAGACTCGCTATACATACTTCTATTTTCTTGGCCCTGGAAAACTTTCACCCCGCCTATAATCGACGTAATGGAGGCAAAGATGGCAAGCTAAAACATGAGAAGCATGAAAAAAGACCTTATGCAGCCCATTATGATGAATATGTACAATTACTACAACTATACCAATTACTTTGGTGTAGCTCGACCATGAAAACTTGGAAGAAAGTGTCGTCATTCTATGGACATAGAAAAGTTGAACCGGACAACTAGCTGGTAATTAAAGAGATGAAGCTGCTGCATGGAAACACTCTTAAAGTTCTTACCCATCACAGTCAGTACAGGGACCGAGAACCATCCCAAGCCTGGTTGCTGAAGCAGGGCCATGTCCCCAAAGTGGGTGCCGAAGATGATTAATATATCATGAAGATTCATGGCCATCTGCAGGGTTCCTATAAGCAATAAGTAGGAAACAAGAATTTTGTGTTGAAGTCGATCCTTCGGAAAGTCTTGGTAGTAAACAACTGAAGTGTGGAAAAGAAGAGGATGATATCGTAGATATTTAGTGGCACTATTGCTTCTGCATTGGGCTGGTTACTCACAAGTTTGGGAACACAAAAATCCATATAATATCCACGAGTAAAAGTATCCTATTAGCTGTTAGCAAATTATTAAGTTAAAGTCTAGATGATTGCAATTCCCATGAGGACGTACTCTAGGGTACGTGCTGTAAATGTATATGGAGAATAGATCAGCAAAATGCAAAGGTTGTGGGTATTATCTAGACCTACGACTGCGCGACAAGGGAGGACAGTGGCATTCCAAGTAACCGATGTTGAAGTTTGGAGAACGGTGGGGAAGACTAAAATTATCGGTTTCTTTTGGGAAGGAAAGGTTAGCTTATATATAGGCTTCGAATACTGTACCATCTCGACCACTTTGTAAGTCACGGGTCACGGTAGTTCCTTACGAACTAAATTGTCCGCTGTCACCCATCTTCAATATTTTTTATGAAAAAAATTCAAATTTCGGGCACGCACCTATGGGCGCTTATGACATTACAAAGTGGTCGAAATGGTACAGTACTACACACTTAACTCCACCGAGGCAAGTGGCATAAACAAACGAAAATCCGTTCCGTGTAGTCTTCCCGTTTAACCTATATAATAGTTGGATCGCATTTCAGCCAATACCGCGCGGTTTTCAATATACTCGTTGTTATCAACAAAGTCCGATTATTGATTTACAGGAGGCCGATCATCAGCTGATCATTGCACCATCACTATCATCCTCGCAAGGTGCTCCTCACTATTCTAGTAAATCCTTTCTCGCTGTTATGCTCATCATATGTTTTCTGGAATATTAGAATTGCGTAGCACTACTAGCATCTGAGTTTGACATTTATCGGGATTATAATACAATTTCCAGCGAGAATCTAGACTTTTTGTCATAGCCCCAAATACATACCATCTTCATCATGATGGTGTGTCGCAGATAAAACGAATCTAGTCTTAAAAGAATAAGGGTTTTGGGAATTTACACAAATACTAATCGAACCTCCAAAATCTTCGTCTGTCACCCCGAATATCACGGCAAGATGGGGGCGTTCCATTCGAGTTCATTGTGAATTACTATAGAAGCCTTGATGATAGTTATAACACGACCTACGGCTATATACGATATTGTTGAAATTGAAATGTAACTGCAAAACTATCATTACCCTGAACAAATTTTGCCACTAATAGCAAACTTTCATGAAAACGCTGGAAAGTGAACTAACTGTCAACTTTCAAGAGAATTATCTTTCCGCTTATGAGTTATCACAATAAGCTCGATCAACACCTGGAGCGATTGCTGTGCGACAAAGTAAGCAGCGGCTGCATCCTGTCGGGAAGCAAGGAATATGAACAGGATTTACAAGTTTAACTCACAGCCGCCAAGCCAGTTTAGGGTTTGCCTCTACTGTACATTGAGTGTTGGGACAGCTCCAACTATAGTTTTGTTTGTAGTCCATTCAGTCGCTCATGCATTTGATGTTAAGACCTTTTCGGTCTTTTAAAGTTTAATGCCTCTAACGCGCGGCTCCACGGGCTTGAATATACGCATGGTGTACTGAGACGCGTACCTCTACGGAGAAACCTTATTTGTGTTGAGTCACTGGGATACATGTGCCAAAAACCAGCCACCATTTGTTTCACAATCTGAATAACTATATAGGCATTCTTGTTATTTGCAGATGGGTACATCCAACCTCCGTATATCTCGGGAAAGATCCTATTGCGTTGATGCAAGTTGTGGAAGAACAAGGAATAGATGGAAAAATTGTGAAAGCCGTGATTACAGTCATAGCAAACGGGAGAGTAGAGAAAATTTCAAGCTAATCGACCTGACAAACTAAATATATTTGCTTCCGACCATTTCATTACAACTTCCGACAATAACGTAGCACCTGCATTCCTTCCAGAAATTGAAAGAATAAGAACAGGACTCGGGAGTTTGACTGCAACGTCTGTTCAGGGTTTGTCGTTTCAATATTAATAATTCACTGACACGGCTGCCTTGTGGGGCCATTCCGTCTCTCATAGTTTCGTGCTAAGACTGTTTGGCATCTACAAGTCGCGCCTGATCCATGGCCTACGGGATTGAAAAGACACGTCTCATTCTTTCAAAAGAGACATAACATTTCCACTGCATCTTACTCTCCACCACGAGTCGCCCTTTGCTTCGAGTGCCTATGGTTTCATTACACAACTTCAGCCTTTTTTGTTCTGATTGATTTTACATACGAAGTTTTGGGACACGATATTCCAATCCGCGACTAGCCTGCGAATCATACCAAAATTCTGAACCACTTCCTATTATTTACTTTGCTGAGATAAGGTACGGGCACTTGGCACAGTTGGTAGCGCGCACGCTTCGCATTGTAGGACGTCAGTTGCGTGAGGTCAGGAGTTCGACTCTCCTAGTGTCCATGTTCTGTGTGAGAACCTCCTTTTTTCAATTCTCGTTTACTCTTGCTTTTCCATCGGCGATCAGCTCGAAAAATTTTCTCTTTCCCTCGTGGACGTTTTGATTTCGTCCTTCATTGATCCTTGTAAGGTCTACCTGGTTGTTACATATGTAGCCAGACGAATTGGGTAAGCTTCAAGCGAGCCCGTGGGTTCAGATGCGGATGCAGAAAAAGATGCTTGATATGTAGTGATGGAATCTGAACGAAATCTTTAAATAGGGTATAATGAACGTTAATTCCTTTTACAATAAAGGTAACTGGTAAGATATATCAAGTAAAATATCCTGTTACATCGTAGACGACGAGCAACTCCACCACCTGTCGAGCTTCAATATCATACAGTGTCAATGTTCATATCATTATTCTTCGGCTTTGGCGGAATAACTCCAGGGATAGTGTATAACATCGCACACAGTAGTTCCGGCAATGCGACCAGAGGATACCAAAAATGTTCATTGTTGGCTTTTGCGACGTTAGAAATGGTGGCTACGGAGAAAACTTCACGGATGAGTAAGAGGATAGCGATGAGGCCAAAGATCAGCGAGGCGTGTTTGGCGCCGAGTGAAGAGGAGGAGTATCGAAGAGTGTCTTGACCTAACAATCGAGGCATATTAGAAAGAGGGAGTTTAAGCGGAGGATTAGAAGGGAAAGTCACCTTCGCGCTCTGCTTGGATGAGAACGAGTGTTTGGAGAACTTGGACAGCAGTAAGAACCAAGAAGAGGATAGCGGCAACCTTGCGCAAGGTGACTCCAGTAGAACTGGTCGGGTTATTGGATATGATGTTAATCGAGGCGATACTCAAAGCGACTGGAATTATAAGGGCCATACGGAACAGACGTCGATTTTTGAACAGCTCCAGCAGGTTTCCAATGATTGGGATAGGGGGTGGACGGGAGTCGCAGAGTTCAAGCCTATGGAGATTCTTTAGATAGAGGGAAGTTTAAGGGTCGATACAAATTCACCTGTCCACGACTAGGGTATATGTAGAGTAAAGAAGACCAAAGAAACCGGTCTGGAGTAGGACTTCTATAGCAACGAATAGCCCCAGGTTCTCCCCGGCACTCTCGACGTTGAGCGAAACGGCTCGCATGATGAATGCTGCTACTCGGACTGGGAAAACGTGTAAACTTAAGTTTTTAACGCAGGCATGAAGGGCACTTACTGAGGCAGAACAAAGTCATTGTAAACAACACCCTTCGACGTTCCTGTACTATTTTGAAAATGAAATAGGTAGCGAGGGGCGAATATAAAGCTGCAAAAACAGCTGCTGCAGCCACAGAGTTCCAGCCAAAGGCTTTAGGGTAGTCGATTACGGGAGATGCCATAAAATATGAGATAGAGAAGTAACTAGAAAATTCCAAAGGCGAGTGAGTGTCTGAACGTCTATTGTTGATCTGCCTTCCTTTATATACCCCATGGACAAGTTTGAAAAGATCGACGATTGAACGTTGAATGTTGTGGCTGTCCCCGCTTGGCACCAGCCGAGGTGGAAGCTCCCACGGGCCATCGGGAAGTTAGCTGTGCCTTGAGAATACCGACGGTGCTTTTTTTAGATTCACCATGCTCCTCCGTCGGAGAGCGAACAAACTGCACACCTTTACTATTAGCGCTTGAGCATCGTTCAAGTCTCTTCACTGCCTCATTCATGCTGTTGACCGAACACGCACAAAGTCGCAGCACGATCACGATGGGATATTATTATCTGGTGGCCTTGTGCGTAGTCGTTGAACTAAGAACTTTGATTTCTTTGACTGGAAAGTAAATTTTAGGGTATAGGTACTCGTGGATGTGGAACTCTCCGTCGTCTCATTACTAGCCTGGTCTCAACTCAAATTGCACGTCAAGAGCGGCCACACATCTGTACTTCCGTCAACAACGGCACCCTTTACTGGCCTCGTGCGATTTGATTCTGCAACGACGAGATACGATGAAGCTTATATCGAAATCATCGGCAGTTGGGGGAGGTAATAACCTCCGCCTCCCCTCAGACTCCCTCATAGCGATATTGACGGACATACTATATTATCTCTAGCCTTCTTCAAGTCGGCACTTAGTCTTCCTGTATTCTTACGTTTAAAGAAATACACAGGTTCTGGTCACCTGCACAACACCGACCTCGGCTAACTTGCAAGAAATCAGCGCCCATCTATCGCGAGGTTTAAACGTCCAAATTTCTGAATCAAATGACATGATAGGGTCGTCTACGCTTGCGTTCATATAGTGCCACCAACTTAATTCCTTCTGCAAGCCCTGAAGGAAAACATAGCGGAGGAGAATATCCAGATTTCGAAAAGCGAACGAGTGCGGGGCCCATTCCCGCTTTTTTTTTTACTCTTGCTCATTTCTCTTACGATGTAGCCTCTGAACACCCCGAATCGGCAATTTGACTCGTCAGTTAGCCTTGGTCCTGTTCATGTGCTCCTTTCCGGGGAACTAAATCGGAGGAATTATTTTGGCAGCGATGTGCCGAAGAGAAAAGATTAGATCTGAGAATCGCCTCACACCTAGAGGCGCTCCCCAATATGCTTTTGGCTGATGGTCTTTCTTTCATACCACCACTTTCAAAGGTAAGATCATACCTCAGGGGATGCTCGATGTTTGTATAACTTACTCGTATTCAGGAGTTCCGACTTCAATTATCTGAGTGTTCTCGGACATTTAATTTATTTCGCGATATCTACTTCGTGTATTTAGGAGGGGTAGTAATAGGTAGGCTAATCATATGTGCATCTATCATCTGTCTCGTCTACTTTACAAAAAAATTTTTTCTCCCGGCGCTCTGATCCCGAGACGAACTCAAATATCTAGTCGAACACTCAATTATAAATACTGTGCTCGTTGAAGAGCTACTTGGTTTTTACACAGCATCGATAGCCAAAACAGCATCCAAGTCATCCCAAATTTAAACAAAGCTACAATACGCAGTCGTTTTTAGTGTAAAGATGTGCAAGTTCCATCTTGGATCGTCAAGCATTGGCGGGCGGTAGAGGTGGAATGATTCCCATGTATATCGGAACGCTCCGGAGTTGTGAGGAATCCATTGTTAGAATCAATCTTAAACTCAGAGGGTGGGGACAGGATTGGATCGTTCTGGGAGGGAAGAAGAGTGTTTCGACATTGTGTCGGGCCTTTAGCTAGGTAGGAAGGCGAGGTGAGTAATTGCAAGAACGAGATGAAGACTGTGAGCAACTGTGGATGGGATGTAACATATTTTGTTTCTCGTGCTCATCTCGCCCTCAACTCGTTCGGACCACACGCCCATACATTAGTGAAACCTTAGAAAGGCTTACATCCAAAAGGATAGCTGCCGGATGTGGCCGCGCAGTTGCAAACTGGACGCGGCGATGAGAAGGAGGGACAGTGCAGCTGGATAATGCGGCAGCATGGCCGTCATTGATGGAAAACAATCATGGAAAATATTCCTCGTGGAGCAAATATCTGTACGACTATCCTCGTTTTCTATATTACCACGCTCTCTGATTGATACTGTACCTCATAAACTTTCCTGTGTAGCCTCGGCCAGTATGTTGGGCTACTTCGTCCGTATTGGAAGTCGTTGTAATCAGGTCCGACCGTCCAGCCGAGTATGACAGCATACAGAGTGTTCAGGAATGAGTGAAAAATTTTGCAACGGACAAGAAAGAAATCTGGACGTTCGGTTCATCACAAGGTAGGAATGGTACATGCCCAGTAGTTGCGTGTAGACGGGACGAAGTCGAAGGACGACACATTTGGAGCGGGATTAATAACGGCCAGAATTTCGTCTTAGGAAGCGTTAGATTCGCGAGGGAGAGAGGGCTAGGGCGGAAACAAATGAACGTCGCGTTACTTGAGCCTTAGCCGCAACTATTGAGGTCCCCCGCGTATCGAGGAGTATTATAGCCCAGAATTCCATAAATTTCTCTAATGCGCGCAGTATCTATTCTTCGTCATCTAAACCTCGACTCGCAATCCTCAGTACGCATTCCTTCCTTTGCCCGCCCCATCCCTCAATCCAACATTGCCTTGAAAGCTCTGCTCGTCTGAGTCCGGTCATTGCCTAGTCTGTATTCCACGCGGCTCGTATATCCAATTTCGCATCGAAGTGGGGACTCTACAATCTTAGGAATGTATAAACCAACAATAGACACCCCATTATACGCCCACTCGCTGGGATTTTGACCAGCCTCCGCATTTATAAATCCGTCCTAAGATACAGAAAGCAAGTCAGAAACCCTGGGAACTGACTTGAGATGATGATGATTTGAATATTGAGTAGAGTGGCAAGTTAGAAACGCGACTATGAAAAGCGTGACAGACTGGAAATGACAATAAGAAAGACAAAGTCACAAAACAGGTACACATTAGGCGCTCGTTTGACCAACAGGTTATTATAAACGCTCGGCAAGGCTTGGACTCGGCTCTACCGCCTCGGCCTGTACAACGCGCCGGTTTTCAGACAAATTCATTACAGTGTTATTCTACTACTTAATCTGTACGTTCATCGAAATTGGTCTTCTTCCTCAGTAAGTATTTGAGCTCAAATTAAATGCTTAGCCCTTAGCCTCGACTTTTTACTCAAAAATTCTTTTAACCCTTCGCATGGAAGCGATCTGACTAATCCCTTATCTCAATCTTGTCGGCTGGTTCTCAGATATCCGCTGAGACTAGGGCTGCTCGCCGTTACCGTATATACGGCTTTGACGGATACGGTCATACGGTGCCCATGCCCGTATCGTCGTGATTCCAAGCTCCTAAAACCGTATACCGTATACGGGGCGGGGAGGCACCATACTGATCCGTATATAACGGCCGTATACGGCCGTATTACAGGTCAACTAATTTTGCTCACTATATTACCGTAATCACCAAAGATGTACCATTGAGCAAGCTTTTAATTTTCAAGGCCCTTCAATCCCCAATCAAATACAAGCTGACTATTGTGGTTCAGGGAACATTATGCAGCAACAAGCCTACATACA